CCCCAAAACCCCAAAACCCCAAAACCCCATAGTAAAAATCTATCGAAAAATTCACAAGATTTAAAGAAATTCATGTTTTATTGATTAATAATATAAACATATTCCTCAGAAAAGTTAATTAAAAAGTTTATTAAATGGCAGATACAGCAATAAAAAGCGAAGAAGAGAAGAAAGAGTATTTCGATACTCCAGAAGTACTAGATTAAAAGGTTGAGATGCTGGCTCTCTGGATAAAAAGCTCAGAACACTTTGTAGCTTTTACTGGTGCAGGTATTAGCACTTCTGCTGGTATTCCAGATTTTAGAAGTGGAGCAAACACTGTCTTATAAACAGGTCCAGGAGTCTGGGAAAAGGCTGCTTTCAAAGAGGCTGCTTCCAAGAAGGGAGTTGTGAGAACCAATATTCAAAAGGCTTATCCGACCTCTACACATATGGCATTTGTAGAATTACAGAATAGGGGACACCTAAAGTTTTTAATTAGTTAAAACGTTGACGGTTTGCACAGAAAAAGTGGGATCCCCCCTGAAAGTATCTCTGAGCTTCATGGCAACACAAATGTTGAGATATGCACCAAGTGTGAAAGAGAATTTTTAAGAGACTACAGAGTGAGAAACGCTTAATAAGTACATGATCACAAGACAGGAAGGAAATGCGATGATCCTACGTGCAGAGGAGATTTAATTGACACAATTATAAACTTCAAGGAGGTAAATTTTACTCATGTACTAAATCATACGTAGAATTTAAGAGAGAAAGATCTTGACCTTGGATTTGGGCACTCTGCAGAAGCAGATTTGCATTTGGTCATGGGAAGCAGCTTAAGAGTAACTCCAGCTGCTGATATGCCAATGACAACTGTCTCAAAAGGAGGAAAATTAGTCATTGTCAAGTAATTCACCCTAAATATTTATAAAATTATTTAGTTTGCAAAAAACACCAGCTGATTATGCTGCAGCTTTGATTATAAATGGTAGATGTGACGATGTAATGAGACTTTTGATGAAGAAACTTGGCTATGATATTCCAGAATGGAGATTATAGCGCAGATTCTAGGTTTCCCTTGAATAAAGAAAATCAGGCGATTTAATTCAGGTCAGAGGTGTAGATGTAAACCTTTCCCCCTACTCCTTATTTACAAAAGTCGAGGCTAAGGATGCCTAGGACAAGGGACTCTACACTGCAGCAAAAAAAGAGCCCTTTGAAGTGCGCTTGCCAGATAATTGTGAGGATTTAAAGATAAAACTGCATTTCTAAGGTCACTACGAAGAACCTACATACTTACTCAATCTAGATATGAAAGAGTTCAGAGATAACAACTACCTCATGACTTATTTGATGGTCTTTAATCCTGCTGAAAAGGTGTGGGAGTTCTGTGTGCCTATCTGAGATAAAATCATCAGTAAGGGAATACCAATATGTAAATTTAAAAACCTATGAATATAAAATGCATTAACTTTTATTATCAATTTCACAAATAACTTTTTAATTGAGGGGTTTTGGGGTTTTGGGGAGATCGGAAGAGCGTCG